TGTACACGTTGCATGGCTTATCCGCCGAATTATGGCAAAATTTCTTTGCGGAATATTGGCGATGAAGGAATGTATCTCGTCAGGACGCACCAAGACTGGTCTTATTGTACACAGGGCACCGAGTGCTCGATATGCGAAGAGCCGATGTACACTGTATTTCCACGCAGCAGAGTATTGCCCACTCTGCACACATTGAAAAAACTATTGAGTGCTCCGTGTAAGAGTGTAAGTGCTCCGTGGAAGAGTGCAACGTGATCTAAAGACTGTGAAAAAGACATGGAAAATCACGAGAGAGTGGAACGCGAACTGCTGGAGCAGTGTGGCCAGATGGCCACTATGGTTGAGTGTTTCGCGTGGTTGCAACGATGCGACGAGTGCATCGAGCGGCTCGAAGAACTTTGTCGTGCCAAGCGTCCGCGCCTCGCCGTTGGACATAGACTATCCGCGGTGGCGAGGATCGCGCGACTCGCGGGTGCAAAGTCACAATTAGAGCGACGTTTCGTACACGTTGGTGACGAATACGCGAGTAGCGGGTACGCGAGTGGCAACGAGCAATCTCTCGTATGGCGTGAGATCGACGCCGCGTTCGAGAGTCGTATAGTGACGGGCGCGGTGATAAACTCTAATCACATCGAGCCTTGCCGATTCCTCGAAGACGCTGGCAATATAGTGCTAGAGCCAGTGCGAGACGCTGTAGAAAGACACGACAGTGTAAAAGTGAACACTGCGTTCAATGGTGAGTTTGCGACGAAGGATAAACGTGCTAACAAGAGTATAATTACAAAGAACAGTGAGATATATAGATGCACCGATTTGCACGAGTGGTACGAACGGCACGTCGTCGAGCCTATCTTGACATCGCTCGAAGAGTTTCAGGAACGCGGCAGTGGGTGGGCGCTGTCGCGAATCCTCAATTTAACTGTTAACGTGAACAAACTAAATCCCATGCGCGCGGGATGTCACTTCGAGGTGCCGCGAGAAATTATGCTGAAGAAAGCGGTGGTCAGTGTGAAATCCAGCGTGCTTCGCGTGGTCGGTGGTCGCCGCTCTGTACCCTGCAGAAAGAAACGCAGATCGGGAATATTCGTACCCGCATTATACAACAGTATTGAATCTCACAAACATTGAGTTTCCAATGACTTTAAAAAACGTTCCAAAATTCAAACGTTTAAACGCTGTGTCAATCAACGTGTACGGCATCGAGAATAAGCAGATCCTTCCTCTACGACTCACAGGCGACAAGAAGAAGAAGCACGTCAATCTCCTGTACCTGCAAGATCCACGCGACGACGGTGTAGGTCACTTTGCATGGATAAAGAACCTGTCGCGCCTCGTGAGCTCACGAC